ATCCAAAACTCAACTCACACCGCCCTCACACCATCTCTCTCGCTCGCTCTCCCCACTCTCATACCTGCACTGCTGGAGAGCTGTCCACGCCAACACCTCCTGCTGCTGTGGCCACCGCCGCCGCCGCCGCCGGATAGTACCTGCATCATACCCACATTCTTCAGATCGCAATGCCAAACACTCCACAATCAGACTCTCCAAATACCACACCACCCGTCGCATGCCTTCTAACCCCAACACCCATATATCAAACTCACCCAGCCATTCCTGCATGCCACCCCAGCATCCCCATCGACATAGGCACAACCGCCACATTCCCGCCCACCCCTGCGGCATCAGGACCACCGCCAGCTGCACACCCCACAAACGTCGCTGCAGACGCCCCATTGCCTGTTCCACCCCAAAATGGTCCCCAGTCAAATCCCACCCAACCATGTACCTCAATCACCGACTCTCGACCAACACAACTCCTACCCCAGCAGACCCCTTCCACATCCTCCTCTCATCAAATCCGCGCACCCATCAAGCTACCTTAACCTACACCGTCGTTTATATCCAGTACGCCCTGCAGATGTCCCCTTGCAACCCCCTTCTTCAGCATTCATCTCTACTTTCACAACGCCAGCTATGCGCAAACTCAAAAAATCCTGCTCTCGCGTTTCTCACACCAACACTACTCAGTCAAGTGACACACCGCCTCTACAAACTGTGCACGCACCTCCCCGTTCCGCCTTCTGAACCCTCCCATTCTCCATCTTCGTGCTCTTGCTCGACCTCTGCACTCCTGCTTTGCTCGCCTCCGCCCGCTCCTCCACCTTGTCCTTCTCCTTCTCGCGCTCCTTCACCGTCTCCTCGGCTACCTCTTTCTGACTCTCTCCTTCACGTCGCTGCTCTCTTTCAGATCGTTCGCCTACACCCTGCCGCTCCTTCTCTTTCTCTATTTCTCTATCCATCTCTTCTTCCTGCGCTCTCCTCCTCTCCATCTCTGCGCGCTCTAACTCCCGCCCCTCTCCTTCCCTCTCCGCTGAAGCGCTGTCCGCAGCCGCTGCAACTGCTGCGTCGACCTGCCACAAACGCCGAAACACAACCTCTCATCACCACCTCAAATGCAAACCGCCACATCCACAAATCATGCCTCTTTCCAACTCAATCATCATCACCCTTCTCAATTCCCACGCACCGAAGCTTTCTCTGTTGCACCCCGAACATCCTCGTCTCCATTCCCGCTTTCGCCGCCCTTCTCACTGCTCGATGCTCCTTCCAGTTTACTTGGAGGCACCTGTAATTGCATTCAACGCCTGCCCCTCAGAATCTACTCTCCCTGCCACCGACTGATCTACCTAGACCAACTCTCATCCCACATCACAAACTTCACACTTAACCTACCATCAGGTCGATTTCTCGCTTCGGTACCCGATCTGCGTCGCTCGGACCACCTGCCGCCGGAGACCTGACACACCAACTCCAAAACGGATCAGCTCCACATGCAACCCCTCAGTACGCATTTCGCTGCATCACAATCCACCCAAACGCTCTCTATATGTACCTTCTCTCAAGCTCCACCTTCGTGATCACTGCATTCACACCAGCGCTCGTGCTCCGCATCGGATCCACCTCCGATTTCACTGCACCTGCAACGTCCGCACACTCACTCTTCGTGCCCTTCTTCTCCCGAACTGGGGATCCCTCTTCTCTCTTCTCTTCACAGATCGAGCTGGCCACTTCTGCGTTACCACTGCTCGGACCCAGCTTCTTGTCCGATTCCACCACCTTCCTCTCCGCACCCGTCTTGTCCGTGCGAGGGACTGTTCCACCCACTGCACCATCGTGACCTTCCACCGCTGTGGCGCCGGTCGTGGCCACCACACTCGATGTGTCTGCCATACCGCATGCCGCGACTGCCACGCTCGCAGCACTCGCACACACAGGGGGTGCCACTGTGCCACTGCTCTCCGTTTTCACGGCACCTCCATCTGGAATCGATGCTTGACTTGTGCTTTGGTTCGCATCCTTCGCCTGAGCTGCACCACTTCCAACGGAGCTCAGCGCAGCATTAGCTGCGGTTGGACCTGCCCTCGACTGAGTCAACCCACCTTCTCCTGTGCGAGTTGTCACTCGAGGTCGCTTTCTTTTCGCGGCTGCACAACAAAAAAAAAACTACCATAAATACGGTTCATCTCACACATTTCCTAACACCCGTGCAACTTTCCACGGGCTAAATGATGGCACCAAGTAACCACTAGTTCACCTCGGAGGCAATCAGAGAAATGCTCATTCGATTTACAGTCCTTCGGCAGGCTCTCTCATGGCCACAATCCTCTGTACGTTGAACTAGTAGTAGTTACCGATGCTACCTTTAATCATCCCAAACAAAACAGAACCGGCGTCACTTAAACAAGATGAAGGACTCTATATTACTCAAAAGGACTATCGTGACCAACACTTCTGCCCAAGCGCTCGACATAGATGCATGTACGCAGAACCCCTCGAAAATGAAGCGTACCCTCAGCAAGTGCCGCTGTTGGTAACGGTGGAGAACGAATGGGTGAAGGCGTTGAGAGTACACCAGGTGAAGAACCCTTCACGCTCCCGTTAACGTTAGGACCTGATGCAGGGGTCGGGATGGAGGAGGATAAAACGACCGCAGCTCCGTTGGAAACATGAGCTGTCACAATGCTTGCAGAAGAAGGTGATGCTTTCGTCTCGTGATTTGGATCGAGTTTCGGCAAGTCAGCAGCTTTCGCCTCAGGCTTGGATTCCACAGCGGCAGGAAGAGGTTGCGTGAACATCCTTGCCAGGTCGAACAAGGCCTCTGCTACTTCCACTTCTTGCTCCGATATAAAACAAAGTGCTGAAACCTGCAGATTTTGAAAAGTTGCCCAATGATTTAGCTTCAAGCAACCCGTAATTCGATGGATATAGCCAGAGTCCTAACAGCACATTCATCCGACAGCTTTTTCGACACAAACCAGCATGAACCAGCAGCATTGTTGTGTGGGTTATCCGGAGGAAATTGTACTACACCATCCCCCGTCAAAATAAAACAGAAAGAAAAGAAATCACCACCTTCGATATCGAGCTTGTGCCCACTCGCAAACACCCCAAACGACACTCACACTCCCAACACCCCACAATTTCCCACTACTAATCTCATTTGCGTCCACAGAACACCAATTCTTGTTACCTTCGGCAACTTGTGAGCCCGCTGTTTCGATGCGCTTGGTTTCTGCACCACCCACCAACGCCACCCCCGTCACCACTTCCACCCCACCACCATTTCATTTCCCGCTTTCCATCAACCAACATCCCACACATTCCCTCCCACCTCATCCTATATCCCTCACCCTTCATCATTCCTACCGTCCGTTTTTCCGCCTTCAATGACGCTATCGATGACGATGACACCGTGCTCGATGGAGCCGCAGCCCCTCCCCCTACTCCTCCCGTGTGCCCCGGCGACTCCGCCACCGGTGGCGTCGATGCCTCGTGCGGACGCTTCCCAATCGCTGCAGTACCACCACTCCCCCCTGTCAGCACCGCTCCACCTCCTCCCACCACCCTCTTTCCCCACTCCCCTCCCCCCTCCCCATCCTCTCCAAATCACCTCCCACCCTCTCTTCACCCACCCATACCCACCTGTGCGCGCCTTCCTTGGCACCGCTGGAAGATCCACCGCATTCCCATCCTCCGCAAACTGCCACAATCCAACGCGTCCCACACGCAATCAGCCCACTGCCTCGCATACCCCCCTCCCCCAACCTCCACTCCCTCTCTTCCAACTCCCACCTCTCTCTTCCTCTCCCATTGCACCTGCGCAACCCACTCCGCCTCTACCTTCACCCCTCACCTTCGCCTGCGGCCGCGACTTCCCCGATCGTCGCGGTATTATGGGTGGCGGATGATCGTCGTCGTCCTCCGATCCACCCATCTCTGTATCTTCCGTCGTCTCTTCCACCTCCTCCGCCGGGCTGCTCCGACCATGCACCACCTTCTCTTGCGAACTCGGTCGCTTCCTTTTGTTCCTGCTGCTACCTCCTACAATGCTCGTCGCCGCTCCGTGACTCGACGTCACCCCGCTTCCGTCTTTCTTCGACCTCTCTCGTAACCGAGAATTGTGTGCATCGTCCATCATGTCGTCGCCATCGTCGCCGCCTGCGCACCACACACAATACGCAATACCCAACCCTGTCACCACGCACTTCACCACCTCTACCCGCTTCACGCTTCACTCTTCACTCTCCACTCTTCACTCTCCACTCTTCACTCTTCACTCTCCACTCTTCACTCTTCACTCTCCACAACCTCCACGGCTAAATGCTACACACCATAGCATCCTGCGCCCCTCCAAAAAAATACGTGTCTCGACTACTACAATCAGGGCCATTCCACAGTGCCTATAAATGAAGCGAACCGGGTATCCAGAACTCTCAGCTGCTGGATTGGTGATACGGCAATCCCAGGAAATCTAGATCGCAGATTGAGGGACTATATCTCAATTGGGATGGCAATCGAAAGAGGATGTAATATTAAGATCGAAACAAAACTACAGGACTTGGTCACAAGCAAGGGCTACACACACAGTGAACCGTATCGTGATCAGGAATGAAACGAAAATGCCGCTCAGCAATGCCTTCGGAGGAACAGGACAGGTAAGTTACGGAAAAGTGTGACGTGCTCAAGTATAGAAGAAAGAAAATAGGACATAGTTTATCCGAGTTACAATGCTATCGGTCGAGTAGCCTACGGAAGTTCAGCTACCTCCATTACCCAACGCGCAACAAATGCGACCGAAGCATGTAGAATTGAACAAATCAACCCCAAATAGCTATACAGCCTGTGGGCAAGTAGGAAAGGGAGCAACCATGGATTACATAAAACTCCTCCGCAACTCTCCGAATTTCTGAGGTAGCCAGAGACGAATTCCAAGCGAGGACCTGAAAGACTGGGAGGGATGTCAGCTTTACTGGAATCCTAAAACTAGATTCGAATTCGCTTAACCTTTGCCCTTCACAGCAGGTTCGGGTTAACCTCTGAGGAAACGTGGGACGCAGCCTTTGATTATTCTTTTTCTGTCATTTCGCCGGACCTCACTCTCGTGAACAGGTCGAGCAATACATAACTCCACCTACAGTCTTGGAGCACACGTATGGAATGGTATCACAGCCATCAAAATTGCCTCAGCGACACAAATTCAACTGTTTATTCTAAATTTATTATCGCATTCGCACCTTGTTGCAGTAGTTGCGAAGGACAATGATAAATCATACTGCTCACTATACCGTAATCAGACATTTAACTCGCAAGATTGACAGTAACAACTCTCAACCTTCATCCTTCGCTAACCATTCTAAAGCTTCAGATTAATTCACTGTGTGAGCTTCCGGTAATTGTAAGGTGAGAATTAATATGCATAAGCTCTTCCAGAAAGCGCAATCCCTCCCGCTGAACAAGAATACTTCTCTGTAATCGAAATCAATAAGAGTCATGGGACTGACCATTTCGGCACACTACCAGCTGCCGCAGATTGGCCCTCCAACTAGTGCATCATTAAATCCAGAGGAATAGCTCTCAGATTATCAAGAGAATCCAACTTGCGGCAGGGAAGGAAAAATAAAAACGTCTCTAAATTTCCCAGGCACGTACTCAATCCTACATATATCTAATTACCAGGTTCCTGCAACGATAGTGGCAAGAAGGAAGGCCCGCGCTTCAAGATAATCAGAAGAGAAGAGGAAGAAAGATGTAGAACAAGATCGAGATTTGAAAAGCGACGCCAGGGAGAGAAATGAGGAATCAGACAAGGCCGGACCTGCAGCGTCTTTAAAACCTGTGCGCGGTCGTTTGGGAGGATGAACAAGACCGCCCCCTCCACTACCACGCCGACCCTCGCGGCCGCGCTCCATGATGGCTGCGGAGGATCAAGCCACCTCCTGCTATTTTCTCCGCTCCTGCTCTAGCTTCCGCTTAACACTTCAGCTTCGAGGCAGCGAAAGGAACACACAACAACTGGCAGCTTGCGGCGGGTACCATAAAGGACACACGTGTAAAAGTTTACACTCGCAGCCAAATGAATCGATGAGCAACACTGCACTCCCAAACAGAGAACTCGTCGGCTGTTCAAAAATCTTTACGTTGTCGTAGTTCTGAGGGAGGCACCGCGAATGAGAGAGACACGAGCTACCAATCGAAAGAGAGTGGCAGTATCGTTCCAAACTCCAGAGATGACAAGAGACAACTATAGAACAAACCACAGGAACGAAGGAGGTGTCTAAAGAGATTAAAATACCGCACACCCCAATATCACTAACCACGAGACTCCAAATCGTCCTGGTTCCGCCCAATCCCGAAGGTCTACAAACCGCCACACACGACAAAAATTTGCATACATTCCGCCACCGCGGCGCCAAGCTCCCACGCATTCCAGGGGTTGTGCAACTAGAACAGATCGTCGCAATCCTCACAACGCCTTAGAGAGACCAGGCAAGACGACGGCATACCACAACACTCCACGGAAGTTGTGCTCTCATAACAGTCACACATATCCCTCCTCTCCTCTCCTCTCCTCTCCTTCCCTCTCGTCTCGTCTCGTCTCCTTCCCTCTCCTCTCGGCCACTCCACCTCCTCTAACCCGTTCCCTCCCAGAAAAAGCATTCCCTCCCCCCTGTAGTTCGCGTTTTCTCCAACCTGCGAAGTCCGGCCCTAGCCATCCTCTCAACCCTATGCTCGCAGATGCCTGCACTCTTCCCTCATACCGCATCACATCACAACAGTGGTCAGAGCTTAATCAGGGGCCACTCATCGTCCGGACTTCTGAATGAAGTTACTCGACTGAGATCACCTGCAAGACAACAAGCTTGAAAGAGGGAGGAGAAGAAGAAGCAGAAGAAGAAGAGAAAGAAGAAAAAAGGTCATCTCGCAGACAAAGCACATGCAGCGACACGAGGGTTCGTCTTCAGGCACAGAGGATCATTGCCATTCCTCGGTTGCAAAAAAAAGAGAAGACGGAGGGAGGCCCAGCAGCAGCAGCAAAGCACTCCGTCCAACCTTCGCTTCTTCCCGCTAGTGGCAACCCAACCTCACTCCCTTCCTCCACCATGGCCATGCCCATCCCCATTTCCATCCTCATCCCCTTCCCACGCTTGAATGCCCGGCCCCACACTCCTCCGCCAAATAGGTACTGAAAACGCTTCTTCCGGTTCGGAAATAAGCCACCAATGGCGGAGAAATTCCAGGCCTCGGCACAGTGCCAGTCACGTAGGTCCGGTGCTTGGTCCGGCATTCCGTCCTCCGATTTGAACCCCTACAGCACCATCTCCACACCTCGGAAAACGTAAAAACCCTCGGACAGGGTTGGTGCGTTTACATGGTTATATCTAAATACAGGATCGCTGTAAACAAGTTGGCCTTTCTTTGAGCGACAATTGTGGGTTCACACTGTTGATGTGGGAGAGAGAGTCAGATAAAAAGGGTTCGTCATTTTTGCCATGCTTGAATACGAATATAGAGGGGAAAAGGAATCGCCTTCTTCTACTACCGTTCCGGGCATTCTGCCAAGGAATGGACCGTCGTCTCCTGAGCATCTTTTAATAGTGGACTCTTCCGGTGCATTGCTACCTATCTCCGTGATTTACCAACCCTATATGCCTCCATTTCCAAGCCTACCCCTACGAACGTGTAGGTTATTCTTCTGTCCCTGCCACAGGGGGGAACTGAATTTCCTGTTGGTACCCGGAGTCACCTCCTCTCATAATTACTCCTCCGTGGTTTGTGACGGCAATGGAGTGCGGAGTACTATATTTGTGTTCCCAATCCCACCTCTTGCTGTTCTCCATTATGGTGCCCTTGTGCCCCAGCCTTCTGAGTTGTTCTCCTCAGTGGGGTACATGGGCTTCATCTGCATACAACTAGACAAAATGGGAACAAAGTATGAACAATGGATAGTGGGTTGCCTTGAAAATACGAGAAATTTAAAGCGCACCACAGATAAGGAAAAATAAGGCTTTCACTATATCAGACAAATTAAACTGTGGTTCATGTTTAGGATATAATTTTTCCTTCGTGCAACCATGATCATGTTTGCATGTAATAATAAGAATTATATGACCAGTCAATTGTGCATCTCTTACTTGGATATTGCAAATGGGTTGTCGACCACGAAAGTAAATAAGATCTTTCTTTTGCTAGAAGGGAGATGTTACTAACATTAGATTTTCTTTGTTGTAATTCATGTTATGAAATCTTGACAACATTAAGAGCATAAGGAAAGATATAACCATCATAAAAGCATGGTTCCAATGCAGCAGGTAAACCCTGTACATGTCAAACAGAAAAACACCTGGATGGAGTGCAATCTCAAATTCCAATTTGTGAAAAACTTACACACATGCACCAACCATTTTTCACATGTAAATTAAACTCATTTCAAACTAGTACTTGTGATTTCTTTTAAAAAATAAGAAGTTGAAATCAGATACTACCAGTGACTGACACATCAGCAACCAATTGTATGATGGATGTGGGGCTTAGTTGGCTGAATTCAGAGCCCCAGTCTCCAAGGTTTGTCCATTGCTATGAGGTGGTTCATGGGCTGAGTGCCATGTCATCAGCCCAGCTTGGCCCAACTCCCACTCATTTCAAGCACATGCAAACCCAATTCCTGCCAGTGCCTCCACTGAGGCATGGTGGGAACCTCCTCACCTTGTCTTCTAAGATTCAAATAAATTTAAAATTATGTATATAATTATCTTAAAATATCTTAAAATTTGTAAGAGTGAAATTATCTTAAACTTTCATTTTTGAGTAGTTTAAAGATCACTGGAAAATTAAAGGAAGCATTTTATCCAATAGCATGTTTCTTCAAAAATAACTTTAGAGAAATCAATTTTATATGCACATTTGTAAGGGTGAATGAACAAGCTATTTGCAACAAGCATTGTTAAATGTCTTTTCTTAATATGGTTTCATCCCTCCTCAGTTCATTTGTTTACTGCTATGATGGAAAGCTTTGATAAATTGCATTCAACTTTATGTTTGCGTCTTTCCTACCTAAATGGGTTCAAGACTTCCAATTCATCAGCAAAAATTACAACTGTTTTCAGAAGAACATCTTGTATCCTTGAAATTTAAAAACCAACTTTTATAGTTACTATTTTATCATTAAATGAGACAATCTTTTATAGAATGTGCAAGAAAAGCAACAAAAATTATCAAAGTTCAAAAAATCCTCCCAAACAACACTAAGAGTGAATGAAGATTATGTATGCTAGAAAAACACCATCCATTTGTATGTGACAATCTTTTGGACCAAAGTAGGTAAACCACCATGTTCTATAAATTGTTTTATAAAACACAAATGAGTTGTGTAAAATGGGAATCACATATTTAAATCATTGTATTTATTGTGGACTAATGTACCATTCCCACCCATACAAACAATATAGGAATATGAATAATAAAAAAAGTTGTAAACTTTTCTTACACACTTTGTTTTTACATTCTACTATAACAACTATTATACAAAAAATAACATATTTCTCTTGAGTAAAAACCATAACCTAGGAACAAAAAATAAACATGAAGTAATGTATCCACACACATGCATGTGTACATAGATAGATAGATAGATAGAGGTGCACATTTTAAACAATTATTATTATTATTATTATTTTATTTGTATATGGTATATAAGAGAGTATTTGGGACAAATAATTTAATATGACTACAATTTACCCTTCATACCAACACCTTGTTTCTGTTGTGTCTATTTCATGTTAAGATTGAACTCTATTCTCAATGACTGGTGGAAAAAAATATAAATACTTTATCTGAATGGGAGTGACACAGTCACAGACTATAAAGAAACAAAAACAAACAAAAATAAAATAATACCCACAAACATTTTAGAAAATCTGTATAAAAACAGAATTGGAGTATAATATAATTCCAGGAACAAACACATAAACCAAATTTTCATAATATTGAAAATTTCTTCTGCAGACTTCAAAGATCCAATTAAATTAATTTGTGAAAAGAACACACTTAAAACACAAATTATAACTTTGAAATCCCAAATCACTGTGAAGAAGGGCAATTCTATAAGAATGTTCAATGCACATAGTTGGAATTTTATATGTACACTATTATCACTGCATGAAAATCATTCACACAGACACACATACACACAAACATAATCATATTGTGCAACAAGTCAAAACTTTAATAACTATTCTTGGTTCATGAATAATCAACAAACAGAACATCAACTTACAACCTCCTAAAACATATACCTTTGAAAGATGTTATATGGGAAAGTGTTTGTGCACATGAAACATAATCAAAAAAGTAAATCTCAATCTAAATGTACTTTTTCAAAAGCCATGTATCACAAGCAATACAATAATGTTTTGTTTCATCAAAAGACAAGGATAACTTGACTTAACCTCCCAATATAACTTATGCATATATGTGTATAAATGCATATACATTTACGTGGAGAAACATTTTGAGAAAGTTAATATTGTCTATTGACAACTTTAGCAATGACAATGGACAACCCAACAATGTTCTCATCCATGTAAACCCTTTGCCTTCTTCATCCATCCTCATGAATGAATGAATAAGGCGGACATCGTGGTGCATCCCTTAACCCGATATCAGCTATCATCCATCATCCATCATCCAAAAAAATTCGAACATTCGCAACGTGGGAGGCGGCGCTCCGTGACGAAGCGACACGCGATCCGAGGGAATGTGCCCTCCACCTCACCCCTGGTCATGCTTGGTCATGTTCCATGGCCATCATCCATCGACACCATTCATGCACAGAGCTGGGCCTGAGGTCCAGTGTCTACCACTGGAATCTAGGTCTCCTTTCACGAGGTAACTCATCCTTTTCCCATTCTGGTCAAAATTCCGACGATAGGAGACGTCCGATCCACACGTCGTGATCGTCCCGTGATTCTCACTAAGCCCGATTGCTCCCCAGTGACGTGGCAAAAAGTCTGAACGCGGCTTTTTTTTTTTTTTTTTTTTTTTTTGTAGAGGGACTCCAGCCAATCCGCATGCAGACTAACAAAACTTTATTACCTTAAAGTCCTATCAAAGCGTGGTAACAGGGCTGCTTAGTAGGAATGAGAATCCTGTTTCAGCACGGTAATAGGTCTGCTAGGTAGGAACCAGGGTAGGAAGTGCCAGGTGGATTTTCTGCACCGGTTGGAATAGAAAAACCAAAAAGGAAAGCATAAAGTGGAGCTTTGGACAAAGGATATAGTCCACTCGACACGTGGCACTAGTGGATAGGCCACGAAGTGGATACCAGAGAGTTTGAATGGGGCCCTTTTTTCTTACCCTGCCGCTTTCTACTTTTGTTTAAAAAACATCTTTTCTCAGTATCTTTAAAGCTAAAGGATAAGTATGCAGTGACTTGCACATGGAAAAATATGCCACTTGATATATTTGGGTATGAAACTGTATTGCAGATAGGAATATCATCGTGCCAACAAGAAATGATTCAGTTTTACCACACTATTATTGAAAAAGCTAGTTTGATACCGAACTCTAGGAACTGTGGGTTTATTTATTTATTTATTTATTTTGGTCATTCTTCAGATACAACTTTCAAGTAATTTGATTTCGTCAATGCTTGTTTTAAATATTTACTTTTTTAATCCTCCAAAATTGTAAGTTTATTCATAGTTAAATTAAGAGGAGGTAATGCAAATGTTGCATTGATTTGAGAGATTGATGATGGAGCTATACCCATCAACAGGAGGTGCAGACTGTGTGCAATGATTGTTAGTTGGCACCAAGTTTGCAAAACAACTGTGAACTAGGTTGTGCAAACCTATCTAACTATTGCATTTCACATATTTTTCCATGTAATTGTCATGCAAATGATCAAGGTCACCTGAATAGTTTTTTATTTTTTTATTTTTTTGTATTAGCTATAACATTTTACAGATGATAAATAACTAAATTGTTTAACAAGTGTGTATTCTACCATATGCATAGTTTTTTTCTAGAACTTATATTAAGTCAATGTTTGACTATTGAAAAAAAATGTG